ATTTTCTAATACTAATAATAAAAAGTGACTAACATCATATCGTTAAGTCAAAGTGAAATTTTATTATCCAAGATTCATAAAATTGCACATCCATTAATGCGCATCAAATATTATATTTCTCAAGGTTATTTCTTTAAAAATACAACATTTAACTATTAGAATAAAATTTCTAGTCTCGATTATATATATATATATACTTATATTTGATATAAAAATTGAAGATTTGTTGCTTAAGAAGAAATAAAAGAAGCTATTAAGGGCTTTTTAAAATATTATATCGAGAGCACATTAAGGTTTAATAAGTGTGTAGATAATATATGTTTCGAAAAACAAAAGCAAGGGACAGGTACGACCCATTTTAATTGAGGAAAAAAAAATTTATTCTCCCCCACCCCACCCCGCGATACTATAATATATATTGTCGTGACTAGTTAACTTTCTCCTGAATTCTGTGACGATTCCATTACAAGGACCCCAAACATGTCAAAGTGGAAAGTACTATATAAGATAACTGCGTGAGAATAAGAAACTCTATTGTATAGATTATTATTTTTTTTTTTTTTGCAAGAGACAATATTATACAGTTAACACAATCACGAACCAAATCATAGCTATATAATTACATTTACAATTGATATCATAATATCTAATTTTTCTTTCTTTTATATACGCAAATAAAAGAAAAACGTTTATTCCTTAATTTTTTGTTTAAAAATAAAAAAAGGTTTTTGCAATTTTTTTTTTTTGAAGAAATTAGAAAGTAAAAAGATCTTAAATAAAGGTTGAAAACTAAGTGAGACGTAAACAATTAACGGATTTGTTTGTCATCAGATAAAAGTACTTGTAGTATCTTCTTGCACGTTTGTGACTATATTCTAATCTTCAAACTTTCAAGTAACTTGCACGACATCGTGAACTTCCGAAAGTCTCTTCGACTCTTACAATTAGTTCAACGTGCCTCTTAAATATAGTATATATATATATATATATATATATATACAAAAGAAAGTTGAAGGACCACGAATTGTCTAGTACTTTAAATTCATCCGCGAGTAAACAAAATCATTAAACTAATTATTTCCAAAATTCGAATGATTATAGAAATTTAAAAAATTTAAGCACAATTTTTTTTTTTTGTATTATCACGAATAATTAAATTTTATATTCAAATTCCTTTTGAAGGGAATTTAATAGCTTTTTTTATGTGAATTAAATTTCAATGAATAAATATATTAAACAACATGTTAAATAATTAACAATGTACACATTACAATCGGAACAAAAAACATGAAAGATTTTGAATAATAGCAGAATGGATATATTTTATAAAAAAGAATTTACGAGCTGTAAACAATGAATCCGCCAATTAGTTGCACAAACATGTAAAAAATTTTAACATCGTTAACGGGATGAAAATTTTGAATGATGTGGACCTTCAACAATATATATATATATTTTTTTTTTATATAGTTGCATAAAGAATAGATATGCTGGCTTTTAAGTTACATTCAACGTGCATATATACGCATTCGTTTCTCCATAAATAAACCAATAAACATCTGACTCATCGTATTTTAAGTTACCCTGGTATTATATTTATTGATGAAAAAAAAGTCGTTATTTTCACACAGTCAACAATTATTTCCTTACAATTTAAATGCTTCAAAAATCATTGCTTAGTGCATGAAAATGACGGTTTCTTATTTGTTATTTTTTTTTTGTCAATAAATGCAGTAACTATATTTAAAACAATAATTGTATTTATTTTTTATTTAATTTCGCGTTATGTGCAATTTTCTATTAATAATTATTATTTAAAAAATTTCGTAGGCAAATTTTGCAAAACAAAGCATCTAAATTAGCGGATTCAATGTTTTAATAAGCGTAATGCGCGACCTATAGTTTCACGGAATCCGTGATATACATTCACATAATCGGCGATCTAATTTCGCGGAATCCGTGATCTTATTTCGAGAAAACAGTAATTTAAATTCGCGGAATCCGCGACCTAGTTTCACAGAATTCGTGATGTACATTCACATAATCAATTTCGCGGAATCCGTGATCTTATTTCGCGAAAACAGTAATTTAAATTCGCGGAATCCGTGACCTACTTTCACGAAATCCGTAATATACATTCACATAATCCGCGATCTAATTTCGCGGAATCAGTGATCTTATTTCGCGAAAACAGTAATTTAAATTCGCGGAATCCGTGACCTAGATTCACAGAATCCGTGATATACATTCACATAATCCGCGATCTAATTTCGCGGAATCCGTGATCTTATTTCGCGAAAGCAGTGATTTAAATACGCGGAATCCGTGATATACATTCACGCATAATCCGCGATCTAATTTTGCGGAATCCGTGATCTTATTTCGCGAAAACAGTGATTTAAATTCGCGGAATCTGTGACCTACTTTCACGAAATCCGTAATATACATTCACATAATCCGCGATCTAATTTCGCGGAATCCGTGATCTTATTTCGCGAAAACAGTAATTTAAATTCGCGGAATCCGTGACCTAGTTTCACAGAATCCGTGATATACATTCACATAATCCGCGATCTAAATTCGCGGAATCCGTGATCTTATTTCGCGAAAACAGTAATTTAAATTCGCGGAATCCGTGACCTAGTTTCACAGAATCCGTGATATACATTCACATAATCCGCGATCTAATTTCACGGAATCCGTGATCTTATTTCGCGAAAGCAGTGATTTAAATACGCGGAATCCGTGATATACATTCACATAATCCGCGATCTAATTTTGCGGAATCCGTGATCTTATTTCGCGAAAACAGTGATTTAAATTCGCGGAATCCGCGACCTAGTTTCACAGAATCCGTGATATACATTCACATAATCCGCGATCTAATTTCGCAAAAACAGTGATTTAAATACGTGGAATCTGCGACCTAGTTTCGTGGTAACCGCGATCTAATTTTGCGGAATCCGTGATCTTATTTCGCGAAAACAGTGATTTAAATTCGCGGAATCTGTGACCTAGTTTCGTGGTAACCGTGAGCTAATTTCGCGGAATCCGTGATCTTATTTCGCGAAAACAGTGATTTAAATTCGCGAAATCCGTGATAAAATTTCGTTTTATCTGTAACTAAGTTTCGTGGGTTCCGGACCTACTTTCCTAACCACCGTGACTTTGTTTCGCGTAATCGATTATCTAATTACGTGTAATCCGCGACTTAGTTTCACAAATAACGTGACGTTATTTCACATAATCCGTGACCTAATTTTGCGGAATCCGTGAACTAATTCCGCGTAATCAGTGACCTAATTTCGTGTAATCCACGAACTAGTTTCCCAAAAACCGTGACCTAAGTTCGTATAATCCGCGAACTTGATTCGCGGAACCCGTGATCTTATTTCGTGAAATCTGCGAACTATTTTCGCGGAATCTGTGATCTAATTTTGAGTAATCCGTGACCTATAGTTTCGCATAATCTGTGATACAATTTCACGTAATCCGCAATCTATGTTCACGAAAACCAGAATCTAATTTCACGAAAACCGTGACTCAATTTTGAAGAATTTTTAATCTAATTTTTCGGAATCCGCGACTTACTCTTTAGGTGTTGTTCGCATTCGTTAAGGCACCTAAAAATTCTCAGTTTCGATTATGCGTTCGATTCCCAGTAACGTTAAATTATTTTTTATACCCTTTTGTATTAATTCTAGATCATAAATATTAAATACAGAAAATATTTATAAATATTCTCGTTTGATTCTTACCCGCTTGTCAAAGATTTCTATTTCTCAATTTCGTTTTTTTTGTCTGAAATATTGGAAATATTTTACTATACTCGTGAAAAGCAAGACTACCTATATATATATATATATATAGGCTTTCATGAAAGTAGATGGAAGTGATTGGTAACCAGATTTAACGAGCGAATCGAATCGCTCAATAGGATCGCGCATCCCGAATCGATCTTTTACAAGATCAAAATGGTTGGAGTGACACGATCTCCATTAACTTCGAGTGGAAATTTAAGTCTATCCATAAGAACTGATTATCTCAATTGTACAATCGGGTTTTCTCTTTGATTTCATTTGAATGAGTAAAAAGACGGAAAAAAAGAATGCAAATGATACGGTACGTACTGCGACACGGTATTTTTTTTTTGAAGAAAAATTCCTTCCCTAAACGCAACTACACTTTTCTAATACTTACATAATACCGAGTGGTGAGACAATTTGCATTGTAATTTCTTTACATTAGCACACTATACGCCAGACAATTTCAAAGAATATATTAATAATGCAATTTTTTTTGTATGTGTGTGCTTTCACTTTACGTTATGAAATTTTTACAGAATTTTATAATCCAAAAGAAATTATTTTAAAAACTAACTTATGAGAATATTTCCATATTTATTAATTATTGATAACTCGGTGACATTCTAGTCACATAATAACAATAAAAAAAAAGTAGATTTGTGCAAACAATAATAATAATAATAATTTCTAATAAAAACCATTCGATATTGAAAATTTCATCATCTGAAAACTGATACAGAAATATAAAAATTTTTTTCAGAGTAAATATCGCGTTGGATGCCGTAAGTAAAGCAATAATGGTGCGTGTTTCAAACGAAAATGGCCTCATGAGTGTTTTACGGGCACAAAATTGGAAACCAGAGAGAAAGAATATAAAAGGTCAAAAGGAGAAGATAGTAGAACGAGTGCCATTAACGTACGATGTTATTTTCTGATTCGCGAACATTTTTTCCAAATATTGAAATTATAACCTATATGTGCAAATGGAAAAATTTATTCTTTTCCACAAAAAAAAAAGAGAATAAACAGCACACAATTTTTGACTTAAATAACTTGCGATCCTATCGATAATAATAGTTAATGATTTACATCATATAACTATTTTAACAGATTTGTGAATAAAATTAAATTTCCGAATTATATCTATAAATATAAAAAGAATTATAAAATTTAATCAAAATGATTAAAACTCACTTTGTTTGAAATCCTTCGAATTCTTCCTGTTGTTCGCTAATGGAAGCCTCAAGGTCCAAATACGCTCCATAATCACCATCTTTGTACAGTTGAAGAGCAGTGTCATCGAGCTGTAACAAACAATTTAGAAAAAAAAGATCAAATAATTGGTAAAAAAAAAAAAAAAGAAAAGAAAAACTAATAAACATTTACATTTTTAACCGCTAAACTTTTACAAGGTCAATGTTCCATTGGTCAAGTATAGCGGTTAGGTCTCACAAAACAACTAAGATATTATACTGCAAAAGTAATAAAAAAAAAAAAAAAAAGAAGTCTAGCAATAAAGTTGCTTATTTAAACGTTGAAATGTGCATCTGTTTAAGCGAACCATTTCCGCTCGTTCCTACGCTTTAAGAACTAATTAGTTGTAGTTTTTATTTTTTACTTTACAACAACTGTACATCTCATCGAGAGAATGGACCAATTATTAATAATTTTCTCTTCAAATTTTCAATTTTTTTTTTTTTTTTTGCAAAATTTCAAATATTTGTTTAACCCATAAAAATCATTAATTAGAATTTTCATTTGTACAAATTTTTAAGATACCGAATTTTCATTTGTCAGAAATTACAAATGTCCAAACAAACAAACAAAAAGAAAGATTTTGGCTCTACTTTTTTAAAATTGACCAATCACGATTTTCTTGATAATTTCTAATATTGATCAATTTTTCAAAAATAGCGTCGAAATCTTTCTATCGATTTTTTGTTCGGTCATTTGTAATTTCGGACAAATGAAAATTCGGCGTCTTAAAAATTGGTACAAATAAAAATTCGGGGGACGCATGATTATGTTCTAAAAATCATTAGTCATAATTTACATTTTATCGAATTTTATTTATCCTAATTAGTTTTGAGCCGAATTTTAAATTGTTCGAAATAGCATTTGGCATAATTTTCATCAATCCGATTTTCTATATTGTAGAATTTTTATATAACCGAAAATTCACTCCACAGAATTTTTATTTCTTCCAATTTTTATTTGCTCGAATTTTCATAACATAATCGGCATTTTAAAGAATTTTTATTGGTTGATTTTAAAAATCCCGCCGAAATCTTTCTGTCGATTGTTTGTTCGGCCATTTGAAAATTCGGACAAATGAAAATTCTATCAATTAGAAATTCTATTAAATGATTTGTCGGTTAAGTAAAAATTCTGTAGTATGAAAAATCGGATTATATGGAAATTAATTATATCAAATAATAATTCGAACAAATGAAAATTCATCTGAATGAAAATTCTATTTAATGAAATTCTACTCAATAAAAATTCTTTAAAATGCCTATTATGTTAAATGAAAATTCGAGCAAATAAAAATTCAGACAAATAAAAATTCGAAGAAATAAAAATTCTGTGAGTTGAATTTTCCGTTATATAAAAATTCTGCAATATAGAAAATCGGATTGATGAAAATTATGCAAATTATACTAATTTGAACAAATAAAAATTCGGCTCAAAATTAATTAGGACAAAAAAAATTCGATAAAATGTAAATTATGACTAATGATTTTTAGAACATAATTATGCGTCCCAAATTCGGTGAATTGGAATTTCGGTCATTTAAAAGTTCGTATCACATAACATTCAATTGACTGTGAATTCTGTTATATTAAAATTCGATTAAATTAAAATTCTGACAAGAATTCGGTAGCTAAAAATTTTGTTAACTAAAAAATTCGTATAAACACAAAAAAATTAAAAGCCATTAAAATAAGATGCAACGCTTCTTATTTTAATCCATTTTAGTATTAAAATAAACAAAATTGGATTAAAATAATAAGCGTTGCAGCTTATTTTAATGCCTTTTAATTTTCTGTGATAATAAATTTTTTATCAAATGCTAATTCAAAATCATCTCTGATTTTACAAGAATATAATTTCGAAAGAAATTGTGGTTATAATATAGAATAAATTTTCAGAAAAAATACCTATATTTTTCTTTTTTCTTAAATAGTGTAAAAAAAATGGAGGGAAAATGCATGGCTCACGACACGCTCATAAAGTGAAACACCAGTGACCCATATTTCTAAAAATCTCAGCTTCAAAATAGTTTTAACACACGCACTTATATATATATATATACATATACACGTGTGCCTTGAAGCTTCGCCACTGAAGCCACTTTATTCCTTGCAACTCCAATATAGAGTCACACACTTATAAAGCTTGCATTTCCGTGGTTTCTATGTCGCCAAAGCTCTTCTTACTATTTAAATGTCGTTATGTAATGTGACAGTAATCTCCAAACTATTTTACAGTAATTAACCTACTGAACTAAATTACAAAAACGAGAGGGGGGGGGAAGTTTTAAACTCTTTTATAAAACTCCTCCAAAAGTCACGTTATACAAAAGGGACTTTTATTTTTATCAATTTTTTTTTTATACGAAAAGTTTCATTTTCAAATATAAAAAAAGGAAAATGGGTAAAAAAAAAGAAAAAAAAAATTTTTTTTCCCTGTATTTACGATATTAAAGTTCATATTACCGGAGAGCGATACAAAAATATTAATCTTGAAAACAATAATAGTTATGAGGCACACTAGGTGTTAGTTAAATTTAAATTTTAATACAGTGGAAGAAAATGAGGTCGCGTCCAATAATATACCTTGTATATATTTTCACGCAATCTTAAAATTTTAAATATACTAAGAATATAATGACAAATAAATAAAATGCAACTTATGAAAAATAATAGAAAAAATTATTTGTAGCTTCCAAACAAATTTTTAATTAACAAAATTTTTACCGAATTTTTATTAAACAAAATTTTTATTTACAATTTTTTTTTTTTTTTTCTTTTTTTATTAAAAACTCTTAATTCAATCGAATATTAATTTAGGCGAAATTCTAATTGAACAGAATTTTAAGTGATAAAAATTTTTCCATGACAAAATTTCCAATTCACTAAATCTTTATTTGTCCGAATTTTTATTACCAAATTTGTCCGAAATTGTAAATGACCGAATAGACATAATTGACAGCAAAATTTTGGCGCGAATTTAAAAATTTACCAATCACAATTTTTTTTTTTCCCAATAATTTCTGATGGCAGGGGTTAATTTTTTAAATTCGCACCGTAATTTTGCTGTCGATTGTTTATTCGGTCATTTGTAATTTCGGACAAATTCGTCAATCAAATTTAAATTCGAACAAATAAAAGTTTAGACAAATTAAATTACGGACAAATGAATTTCAGTGATAGGAAAATTCTGAAATTTAAAAATTCGAATTAAAAAATTCTGCTAAATTAATATATTTGATGAAATTAGAATTTGTTTAAAATAAAAAAAAATTCGTTAATGAGAAATTCTATAAAATAAAAATTCGTTTTTTTTTTAAATTATCAAATGTTAATACTTAAAAAAAAAAAAAAATTGTATAATTATAATGAGTTAAAGATAGTAACAGTTATGATAAAACGTTCGTTAAATCCAATCTTCAACGAGAGTAAAAGCTGTTTACTCTTGTATATATAAAAGTAAAAGCCAGTCAAGTATATCATTTATTATGTAGTTTACATAACTCTATTTGAAACGAGAGAAGCGCAAAGTTACTCTGCCGAGCGGCACGCTTCGATGAATATATAGGTGACAAACTACACGCACGCTTTTACTTACACCGCATCTATAAAGTGGCTAGACAAGAAATGCGAATCTGAGAATAGTATATATATAATAACCCAAGATGATCCATTCGACATAAGCCAAAAGTCAAATTAAATTTTTTTTTGTTAAAAAAAGAAAATATTTATATCTAAAAATAATAATTTTTAAATCTAATATATATATATACCTTCTAGGAAACTATGACAATATCGACGAATCGGTCGCCTTTACTCTATGATTTGCGCCATGATTACAGACCACAAATAATTTTTTTCTTTTTTTTTTTTTTTGTCTGAAAATCGAGCCGCGAGAACAAAGAATCTTATTCTTCTTCCGCCGGAGACATACATTTTTATACTTGTGCCTCTCTTCCACAAAGGAAATTGATTTATTTCTCATTTCTTTGAAATGTCAACTATTAAAAAAAAAAAAAAATGCAGGCAAACAAGCCCGAAAGTAAAAAAAAAACCAATATCTTCTTTTTTAATTTTTGCGGAATGTTTAAAGATTTATCCCTAAGAGTTAAAAAAAAAAAATCGATCAGAGAGAAAGTATTTAATAATTATACATCGAGGAAATATCTAGATGTACTTGGAAAGTTATGCCGTTTAAAATCTGAAAGTGAATGAAGGAATTTAGGAAGAACTTTTGAAAAACCTTGAACACTATAAATACCATGAAAGCCTATGGGTGATATTATAATCATTAAGTGTGTAGGATATAATAGAATTAGAGAAAGCTAATGAAATGTAGATATTATCTCGCAAAACTTGTGGAAAATAAAATTAATTATTACATATTATTTGCAAAATTATACCAATTTTCTATTTATATTAAAAAAAAATTGTCAACAATTTATACTTAAAGTATTAATTTTTTTTTAAACGGGGCTCATAATTATCCCATAAAAATCATTAATATTTATTTTCATTTTAAAAAGATTTTATTTGAAACAAACGAATGATTTCAATAGAATAGCGAAAGATTTAACAACTAAAACTTTTGCTACTGCATGTGAATCGTTTCGCTGTTTTAGATATATAAATCTTTTTTTTCCCCTGTACCGAATTTTAATTTATTCGAATTTATATTTGTACAAATTTTTAATTGACAGAAATTCGAATTTTAATTTGTCCCAATTTTTAATTAAACGAATTTTTTTAAGACGCCAAAAATTTTAATTTGTCCGAAATTACTAATGACCGAATTTTTAAAATTGCTCCGAAATCTTTCTGTCGATTTTTTGTTCGATCGCAGTTTTGTAATTTCAGACAAATGAAAATTCGGCTGCTTAAAAATTTTTATCCAAAAATTCGTATAAATTAAAATTCGCTGAATTGGAATATAAAAAAAAAAATAAAATAAAATCCCTACAAGAAAAAGAAAATTTATTTTTCACAACAGATAAAAAGAACGCATAATTCCCTCAAGGGTACTTGTGAAATTTCCATTTTTTCAATTTAAT